AAAGAACATCCAGAAAGGACTGCTCTTGGCTATATTCTCTTCTCAATCCACCTGACTGAGGATCTTGGAATGGAGAAGCTGGAGGCAGTAAGCGCAGGGAGCTGAGCTGCCTGCAGTCGCAGTGTGCTTGGATACCTCCTTCCAGGTGGCAACAATCCTCCTCAGAAGGAGCCCTGACAGCTGAGGAGGAGGGGGAGAGGGGAAAAGCAAAGCAGGAAGAAAATGTCTTGTAATTTCTGCAGGGAGTAGTAATGAAGAGATGTGGAAATACAGCTTGAGTGCAAGTTTCATTGGGGCCAGAGGCCTCAGGCAGGAGTGCCAGGGAACAGGGGAGCCCTAGGCCATGGTGGATGATGTTACCAGGGTGTTCAGGCAATGATGGCACTCAAATACGAGTCCAACATTTTAGCTTGCAGCTGACCTTAATGTTCCATTCTGGAGCACGGACTCACACCGTGTGGGGCTGGTAGGGCTGCCAGCAGCTGGATTCTAGACATGCAGCAGATTAACAAGATGTTCACAGATGCACCCCAGCTGAGCTGCTGCAGCCTAGTATGCAGAGAGAGAGAAAGAGAGAGAGAAAGAAAAAAAAACAGAAAGAAAATCTGCTTTGCAACGTGTTTTCCCTTCCCCTCTCAGCCTCTTCCCTCCAAACATTTTTTCTCTAATGGACTCCATATCAGTCCTCTCATTTCTGCTGGATTCATAGATCCTTCACCACCATCTCGCCATCCTTAAGAGCTGATTTGTTATATGAAGAATGGGAAGGTGTTGTGTTGTCTCTGTCCCAGTGTGACATATTTCTTATTTTCCATTTTTATCCCGCAGCTCCACTGCTTTATCTTTCCTTTCCAGCACAATGAAAAGCATGTGCCCAGTAAGCCCATAGTTACCCGTCCCCTTGCTTTGAGAATCAAGTCGTTTCTCGGTCATCATCTGGACACTTACCTTCCTCTGTAAAATAGTTTTCAAAAGACTCAGAAAAATGAGAGAAGGGGATGGCAATTACCAAATAAAGTGAATCTCAGCAAACTACTTTATCCCCCTTTCCCTCCCGCCCCCAAGGATAGCATGTAGGTAGGTGGTAGGCAGTACGTGATGAATTGTGCTTTCCTGTTGTAGAAGCTGTAGATAAATCTGCAGGAAATTCACAGCTTAGGAAGAAAGTTCCCTTAGGACTGCAGTGGGCGCTTTTCTTGTTGTTGTTTGTTTGTTTTTTGCTAGAAATCCCTGTACTATACGATCTTTGGATAGCCAACAGTGAGATCCAATGATCTGTGCAAATTGTCAAGACTTTGTGCTTCATTAGAACTAGAAAAGTCTGATGAACCCAAATTCTAGTCAGTCTTTATGTATGTATTCTTAAGTACAAAAGGGTTTCTTAAAATAATAATTTGAAGTAATAATGCATGTATTTCTTCTGAGATCAAGAAAAAAATGAATCTTTTATACATTCCCGTGTCTTACTTTGATTGAAAAAAGCAGTTTTTAAAGCTAATTCACAAATGTAAGTAGGGCAAGCATTGTAAGATCTGGGTAATCTTTTCAAATTATACAAAATGCACAGATAAGAAGAAAAAAAAAGAATAAAAATCACAGAAACGCAATGATTAGCCATTAGCTTACGATTTAGAAAATAACATTTTTCAGAGCAGAAGTTAATAACTTGCATGTCTGAATTTATTCAAATTTGTTTCCAGGTAATCTCTATTTACTACTTGCCCATAAAAATCTTGCTTCTCTCCTGTCAGCTGCCACTTTTGGCAAGACAGTTTTTCTATGAAAAGTTGAATTTCTTCTCTCTTATATATCCTTGAAAGGAATACATATGTGTGTGTATATATATGCATACATATATATTTTATATATGTATGTGTGTATACGCCTATATGTATGTATGAACAGAACTGCATATGTACCTGCAATCTGCTCAAAATAATTCGTAGGGTACAGAACTGACCTAATTCTGTTGCTGTTGAATTACAAAGAAACAGACTCAATCAGCCAACAGTGAGGGTAGACCAGGATTTTTTTGTGAGTTTTCTTAGCAATGAAATCCACATTAAAATTAGTGCCATTTTACTGTTATGTCCAGCTTTTGGTAGCTGTGGTTTTGCATACTCTTCTTTATTTCTGATGCTTTTTAGTATAAAATAATATTTTGTTAAATCAGAGAATCTCTTCCTGTACAGGCACTCACAATGATATGGGAAAGACTGCTTGACATACAGTGTGGAGCACTTATATCTATAAATAGAGATAATTTGGTGAAATTATGAATATGTCCCTGTAGGAATTTTTAGGGGAATTGGTTAAAAGGAGCAGAGAGGTGTTACTGGATGTGGGGGAGGACAGTGGGGATGGGAGTTTGACAGGTGGTCTACATGCAGACTAGTATTAAAATCGTTGCCTGTGCTATCAAAAATGGATTGTGCCCTTGCCTTAAAGGATTAACCTTTATATATGTGTGTATATGTGTCCATGTGGGACGTGGGGAAGCCAGCGTCATGTTAGGTTTGAATAAATCTAGCTGCATTGTAAGCTGTCATGAATGTTTTAAAACCAGCTTATAGGAGAATGGTTCCTGGATTTCCAGCAAGTGAGACAAGTGTCCCTTTATAGATTTGCATAGCACATTCAGGAGAATTAAAATAATTCAACAAGTAGTATTGATCCTAACACGAAAATTCCCCATAAATCTGCAGCTCATGTCCATGAGCATCGTGGTCCTCGTTGCCATTCGACTTAATCCTCCAATTTTCTCAGGGACATGCTTTCTGGAAAAAATCTTTTGGTCCTTTTAAATTATTAATGTCATTAAAATTTATAATCTTCTGTCGTTACCTCTAGGAAAATAGAGATTTCAATGTGAAACATAATTGTCTCATTTTGCAATTTGTGTTTTGATAGCCGAGCACAACCAGAGCAGATTTAAATATTCCCCTGAGCAAAGTGGCTAGGTATTACAAACCGGCTGAAGGTCTTGGCGCGCAGATAAATGAATAGATAAGTGAATGCTGCAAGCGACCAGTATTTGTGTGCAAATAGACAGATAAATAAATGTCGCATGTGTTTCAACGGTGAAGTTAGCCCTTGTATGCCATGTACACGGAAGGAGGTGGAATCGTTGTTGTTCTTGAAGCATCTCTTGGACAGAAGCAAAAGCAATTGCTGGTGCTGAGGAAGGAAGGGCCCAGTGGTGCCGTAGCAGCACCAACATGGGGGTATGGGAGTGACATATATGAAGATACATAGAGATGCATAGATACGTAGGGTGAGGTAGTGTGCAGGGCTGGCACACAGGCAAGCCTGGGCACACAGGCCGCCGTGAGCAGGGCTGTGCTTTGGGTATGGCTTAGAAAAAAATGCTAGGACTAAACAAAACGCTTTGCTTAGTTGTTGACTTCACTGTGTAAAGAGCCATTTTGTGTCATGTACGTAAAGGAGCGAAAACACATTGCTTTTAAATACCTAAGTAGACCAAATGGAGCTCAGTCTGCAGCTGTGTGGGCAGGGTGTTTCTCCCCAGCGCCGCGCAGGCTCGGGCCTGCTTCTCGCGCTGTGCTCCTGCTGTGGGGAGGCAAAGCCGGGGGCAGCTCCGCGTGCCGCCGCCCTCCCTGGCTCCGGCGGCATGCGCCGGGCCCCGGCTTCGTCTCTGTCGCTGGCGACACCGGCCGGCTGTGCGGGGAGGCCGCTGAGGAGGCCGCGGGGGCAGAGGCTGCGCGTGCCGAGGGGGCCCTGACGGCCCTGCCGGCTGGGGGCTCCCGCCGTGCCACAGGCCGCCCAGGCTCTCCTGGCGAGCCCCAAGTACACCAGCTGCTAAAGGAGTGCGTTTATTTTCTCCTCTCCTGGTTCTTTTCCTCTGCACCAGTTGGTCTGTCATTAAGACAAAGAGTTTCACCTTCTGCAAAGTTAAAACTTCTTGAAAAAGATGAGAAACTGGCAAAAAGAACTGAACGGAGCCAAAGCGACAGCACAAGTGAACTGCAGCAAGTAATTATAATAACCCCACAGTCATTTCACTCACAGTGTGACAGAGTGAAGGCAAAAAACCCAAAGTAGTTCTTTTCTAAATGTTAAAAATATTTTTTTTATTTTGTTGGCAGCAGCTGCTGCGAGGCCCAAGGTGGCGCATTGCTGGCAGGGAGCAGCCGTCGTGCACTGTGCCGCTCGTGCGACACAATTTTTTCTTTAAATTAAAAAAAAAAAAAAATGGTGCTATGTAGCCATGTTGGCTTCAGCCAAGATGCAATGGTGACAGATGCAGGTTTCATCCCTGTTTGAAATGGGAGCCAGGACATGGGCAGGTTGGCAGAGCAGCTCTGCAGATGCCAAGCCTGGAGGCAGCAGTGACCCGTCCTCAAGCCTTCCTTGCTCCTTATCCCAGCTTTGCCTCTGTGAGGAAACTTGTGTCCATCAGTGTGTCAAGTCCTTCCGCAAAGCTCCCTTGTTCTTGATTCCTTTTCCTGTGTTGGGGAACTTCAGAAAGTTTTCTTGCGTCGTTAGAAATGTCCTCCTGTTCTTCTGAGAAAAGGAATTTCCCATAACATTGTTCTCAGGCCTGTCTTTCTAAGGATGGTTGTCCTTTGCATTTGTGGGTTGGCTCTGGCGATGCAGTGAGGGGCTGTTCCTTTAAACCAAAACTCTTTCTCTATAAATGTGGTCTGGACCCTGACTGAAGGCTCTTCCTCCTTATTTACGACCAACAGAGACCATCCCTGTACTTTACAATGAGGAATTGCCTCCCACTGTGTGTTAGGATTGCCAAGGTAGCTGGTACTGTGTTAGGTTGTTTTCTTTTTCATTTCAGGCAATGCATAAAAAAACACCATAACTGTTAACTAAGCACAAAGGAAGCTTGATTGGCCCAGGCTAAGCACATGCATGCGTATTTGTTTTCTTCCACAGTCTGTTAGAAACATCTATCAAATAATGAGAGGAATATATAAAATAACGTGGATATGTTTCTGTTTCTGAAAGATTCTTGTTTCCTTTTACAGGAAATCACTGACAATGAGATACTGGAGTTGGTGCATAGCGCGCTGGGGAGGATGACAGTTATCCGGCAAATATTCCCTCTCTTGAGGGACAACAACCAGAGGTGCATGAGGAACAACCACCGAATCTCCTCGCTGCTGTGCGATCCGCAGGAAGGCTATCTGCAGATGCTGCAGGTCAGTAGCTGTGCCCACCACACTGGTCCTCCTCCCAAATTTGGCAAGTATGCAATGTTGGAGGAGATGTAAGGAGGAAAACTAAAATGAATACCCTTTGATTTTCTAAAGTGTTAGAAGGCAATTGTGCTGGCTCACAGCTGGGTTTGGATATTTCGTCCTGTTAAGATCCTTTGTGCTGTTACCGCGTATTATTATATTTATAGACTAGACATCTGCTGTGAAAGAGTTAATCTGTGAGGATAACAGGACTCTGATAGGTATTGGGCTGCGGAGCATTTCATACTTAGTTAAATGGCCTGAATCCAGCTGATGTTTTCAATCTGTCCCATTTCAGCAGCCTCAGAGGTCTCTAACAGCTGATAATTGTCTGAGCGTGTAAAATATGAACTACTAGTTCATGTTCCAGATTTTATTAACAGATATGACTTTGATGTAGCCAGCATCACAGGGACACTTGTATTTTTCTTATAGTAATTCAAGCATAAGGTCCTGTTTGCAGGGTGGTCCAGTAGCTGGGATGTGTAGGTCTGGGACTTTCAGAGCACTCTGTGCACTGAGATTGCTTGAAATACTGTTAAGAATCACATCGCTGGTGCTATGGGAGGTGTGACATAAAACATAAAACTTAGGAGAGCCTGAGCACGTAAGTGTGGTCAGGACCTTTTCATGTGGAATTGATATGGATATTTCCACCTTAAAGCTCTGTCTGGTTTGGGTTCCCCACAGACAGAGTTTGAGAAGTGCCAACCTCACGCACTGCAGCTCTCTGTGCACCAGGCCTTGCACTTCTGCTCTCCCTAGCCAGGGGAAGGCCCAGTCCTGTCCTGGCCCCGAGGACGTGATATCAACAACGTACAGGTATGCTGCAGTGAGGAGAAAGGCCACATGGTTCAGAGAATCAAAGCAGTTTCCATCACGTTGAAAAGTCTGTCTGTCCTGAACCAACAGATCACTCAAGGGGGAACAGTTTTGCAGTATGGCAGGGTTTTGACTATTGCTGTCTGTGCTGGTTTATGCAAAATCTAATTCAGAGGCTCATCTGGAGGGCTCTGACAGACCTCTCCAAGCAAGTTGTTATTGCTAAAACAATAATTGGTTTGCTAGCTTGAATACCCTCACTCCCTTTCCCTAAACTGACAAGGAGCCTTTAGGAATCTAAACACTCTTCCTACTGCTTGACAAATGCGGGCTTTGAGAAGCAAAACATCCCCAGGATTCAGATTTCTTGTCTTCCAGAAACACTTTACCACCTTAGAAACTGTCTTTAAGAGGATGGAATAGCAAGGCGGTCTTTGCCCATTAATTCCTTCTCTTGAAAGGCTCCTTCTTCTCTTTGAACCAAGACACAAGGAAAAGGTGCAAGGAGCCTGCTGCCTGCTCTGGGGGTGGCAGGGAGGCCACCAAGTCCTTTCCACAGCTTCCATGTCCAGTCCCACTGGAATGAAATACCCTGAAAGGTAAAGGATATAGCTCTGCCACCAGTCTCTCAAGTCAACCACCTGCAAAACGTCAGGAATTACCTTTAGGTTTCTCAAGCTGAATGCAGGCTTTCAGCATGCACAGTTGTATCTGAAGTGTTCTGTGTCTGTCTTTTTGCCATGGATGTTGCCAAAACATCTTACGTAACGCCTTGTGGGTACACAGCTCATATTCATTGCTAAATACAACCGATGTGTTATTACTGGCCCTGCAGTTCAGGTACTTCCAATCTTCCGTTTCCTCTCTTTTGCCTAAAAAAATAGTTTTGACCTTTTGCGCTGCAGAAAAGTACATCCCTAAATTACCCTGTTGCCAGAGGCTGCAGTAGCTCGGAGCTCCGTGTCAGCGGCAGGAATCCTCCAGCAGCCGAGACCGCCCGCCGGGGCCCGGCCTCGCGCTGCCTTCAGTCGCTTGATTAACACCAGTTTGGAAATCCCTGGCGCATTTTCCCTCGGGCAGTTTCGTATTAATAACTCTTTGTTGTCAAGGTTTCTTACCAGCTATTGTTGGTTAATTATTTATTTAATGACTTTGAAGAAGAATAAGCTAATCTCTGGCAGCCTCTCACTGTGCGATTTTTATAGGGGAGAATTTAGTGTTTTTAACAAGCTAGTAAAGAAAGAAGCATTTACGTCATGGATTATTAACTTTGTTCTGACTAAATTAACGAAAATCTTTTTTGAAACAATTTTGTTCTCAGTATCTTTGGTACCATATCCTGGAAAGTTGTTTTTCAGTGGGTGATCATCCCCGCTTGGCATGCTGACAAGGCTTTTAAAGATCAGGCTGTTCTGCAAACTCATCCAAAAACTCATCTGTTCTGAATGCTTTGTGGAAATCCAATCTTACTCCATCAACTTACTTGTCAAAATTTTGCTCATGCCCTTATTTCTTGCACATATAATACACCCAGCTGGGTTTCTACTTCAACTGGAGAAAAAGCTTTATGAAGTTTCCCATCCTGATGGTTTTATTTGAAATCAGAAGACTACATTTATCTCTTGTCTTATTCTTCATACATGATTTTCTGTGTCCATTTCTTGTTTTTTTTTTCCAAAGTGGAAAGCAGATAATTTAGACCTCACTCTCTCCCATTGGCGATGAGCGCCCTGTGCTTTCAGCCATCAGCAGCTGGTGCTGTCTGGTCCACAGGGATAATAATTGAGCACCCTTGGAAGCTCTATGGGATTAGAGAGAGATCCTGTTAGTCACAGGTATTCCCTGTACATACCCCTGCTTGGCACTTCAATGTTGCTTGCCAGTGTGGAGTAGGATTATCCTTGTTAAATTGTTTAGATCATCTCAGAGACTGTTTCACATGGTAAATTTGAAGAAATGTTAATGCACGATCAGCTTCCTCTTCCCAAATCCTTCTCCTTTAAATACTAGTTTGAAGTCTGGCTACAGATTTGAATTTGTGATTGAGATCCTTTCCTTATACAAGATTCTTTCTGATGTGTTTTGATATAAAAGCCAAAGCTTTTTTGATGGTTATGTTTTTTGAAGAAAGATCCCCTTTAGAATTGCAGTTGTCTTGAAGGTTTTTTGTTTGTCTGCTTGTTTTACTATTTATATGGATAATAAATTCAGTCTGTAGGAGACCCCATTTTTATTTAAAGCGTATTGCAGGGAAACAGGGCATCTGACATGATTTAGCATGAGCCAAAAGATATAGTAAGATAAAAAAGGCAGAAAGAAGAAGAAAACCCTGGTAAATTGTGTCACCGAAAGAAGGAGAATGTGGATATTTCTAAACAGGATTCATAGTCCCAGCTGCCTATTTCAGAGCTAACTCAGGCACTGCTTTGACATGTTTGAAGAGTAGATGTTGAGGAGCGTGGGCAGGTACTCCTCGAAACAGCTACTCTTCTACATGCGAATACTTAATTTTGTTCCTCAGTGGCTTGGCCGTCAGACTCTTTGTAGCCATCTTTTGGCACTGGCTCCTTCAGAGCTGCATTTTTTCTTAGGAGACATCTTCTCTTTAGGTGGTACTGCAGTCTAACTGCTCTACACATTGCTGTTCATTGCACATGTGTGTGGCTGCATAAACACAGTGAGGGCCTGATCCCCCAGTTTTGTGCAGTGTCGCTCTCAGTTGACCTGTTTGCACTGCTGTTACAGCTCTGCTGTTAAGAGCTCCTGGAGGCAGCAAGGATTGATTGAGCGCTATTAAAATTCTCATAGGGGATTGGTGAGCTACGCTTTTCCCTTTCATTGCAAACCTGTTTTTCCACATCTCTTTAGCAATGTCTATTTTGGACGTTCAGTCATGGTGAAACTGCCTCTGAGCAGTGCAAGAATGAAAAGTTATCTTAAATTGACCGTAGGGCCCAGTGCAGAGCACATCATCTCCCTGAAACTATATGTCCTGTCTCCCATACAAAGCATGTAAACAGAAGAACTGGTAAAAATAACTCTGGTGCCCTCAGGCCCAGTCGGATTTTGTGAGCAGCCTGGAGGTAAGAACCCACCAAAAGCCTGGACTGAGCTTTTCCTCTCTTCTTGGACAACCTCTCTTGGCCACAGCTAATCCTTTTATATCTGTTTGCACAATTAGATATTTTACTGAATTTCCATCCAGTGCTTTATCAACGAGTGGTCAACAGTGGCTAGAAACAAGTACATCTGGGTTTGGATTTTTAAGGTCTTGAAGCCTAGCCTGCACACTATTTGCATATGGCATAGTGTAAAATAATAACCTTCTTGTACTCCATTTTGTGATTGCAATGTTGTGTCCCACCCTTCTCCCTGGCCCCCCGTTCTCCATATCAGGCGCTTCCTACTAGACTCACCAGGGTGGTGGTTGTTACCTGGGCCAGATGCTCCAGGCATTTAGTGCAGGAAGGCAGTGCCTGCAGCTGGCTGGCAGGCTTGAGCGTCCTTGTGCTGTGCTTGATGTGTTGTTGCAAAGCATACCGAGCAAGAAACCACTCGTAGTTGTGATCACTCTTCATAAGAGGAAGAGGACATTGGCATTCAAAGACTGTAGAGAGAGAAGAGGGTGGTATGTAACTCAATGCAGAGGGAAAAACAAATTAAAGGAGCGTAAGGTGGTTCCCAATACAGGGCGTGTGAGAGCAGCCTTGCAAGGAAGTCAGTGGACACCCCGTTACTGGAGACACTTGAAGTGGGGATGGACAAAGCAGTAGGTGATACACAAGCGAAGTCCCTTCCTGCTGGAGTGGCTGCCCGAGGGCACCGAGGCCGGCAGAGGAGGTGGAGCACGCGGCTCCACGGCACAGGCAGACATGGCCTCGCACCGCAAGGAAACCAACCCTCCCTGCTGCTCCTCCCTGGCAAAAACTCCTTAAAACAGCGTTTAGGAATGTTCTTAGGAGAGAGTTACATCCTCAGTGAGAATTTCCTCACTGTCTCTGCTAGCGTGTGGTGGGTTTTTTCCTCGTTGCAAAATAAAGGTTCCTAATGACTGAAATAATTTCCAGGATATATACTGGTACAGGCCTAAAAGTGCTTACATACAGTGAAAACTCGTTAACGTGCTGGGGAAAGAGTGGTGTTTGCTAACCAATACTTGATAGAATTACGACTCTTATTGATGGTGATCATTGTCCTAGCATCCTAGCAGATGGGCCAAAGAACACTTCGTTGCAGTATTAATACCTCCACTTCTTACAGCTCTCAGCAATCAAGAGGAATGGAAAATTGCAATTTCTTCTTCCAAACACGACAAAAATGAAGCTCTTTAATTTTCTCATGTAGGAATTTCTGTTCCTACATGATAGGGAATCTCTGCAGACAGATACATGTCTTCCCTACTCTGCTCCCCTGTGCAGGAATAAATAGGAGCAATGAGAAATGTGGCAAAGCTTGGAAAACCCAAAGGACGCAATTCCGATGCCTGTTGGGTTTCTCCTGCTTTGTCTGCAGTTCTGAACACTGCGTGAGACTAACTTCTGTATAAACTGTTTCCTCCTGCCTTGGCCAGCAAGGGTGGAAGCAGGGCACAACTCACCTCCTCAGCATCTCCAGACTTCTCTTTCACAGGTCATTTTGCCTGCACTGGGGGTTTGATATTAGCTGGAAACTGAGATGTGTGTGTGCCGGCAGTAACGCACGCGGAGGGGCCTTGTCTGATGGCCCCTTTCTGCTTTCACAGCATCACTGGTCTGGATATGAACCGGGTACCTGCATAGGAGAGTTAGGGGAAGCCGTTTTTCTTCCAAAATACAGTGACTGATGGTGCCCTTGACAGAGGTTTAAGTATTCAAGCTAAGAGCAGCATGTGCTGTGAGCAAGGTTGTTGTGACTGCCTTGCTTTGATGCAGCCATGGGGACCTATGGAATTGTTGATGTATTAAAAGGAATGACACAGGAAATAAAGCGAATCATTGTAGCACTGGATATACTGTGAGATCAGGCCAGAATTTCTGTGTCTTGCTTTGAGTAACTTTTTGTCTATAAGCAAATATATATGTTGGAACAAATTCAGGCAAAGGTGCCTGTGATTTAGCAAGGAGGAATGTATTTGAGGGCTTTAAGTATTCTTGCTTCTCTACCTCAAAAATAAATTGGGGAAAAAAAAACAGAGAAAAGATAAAAATACAGCTTAAACAGTAGTAGAAAAGAGCATAGTCCTTTTCTGAAATGCTGTTAATTCCTTGTATGAATCAGACAGACTTGGTCTTTGGCTTTCTTTTCCCTCTCTTTTTAATTGGCTGTGGAAATGCCCCAAAAGCCAACGCAGCAGAGCACTCGTTCAGCTGCACCGATACAAACCTGGCACCGTTCTTCCATTTTCCAACATAAAACTAGCTCCAATTTGGGGTTAAGTGAAGACATTCACTCTGACAGTTGATGTTCAGGAGCTAGGTTTTCCTCTGTATGCTACACAGGATCCAAAGAGGTGCTATTTTTTAAGTTATCATCGTGTTTTCATTTGGTTTTGATTATTTCTTGCACTTCAGAGAAAGATACTGTTGACCTACAGGACTACCAAAACAATGCTGATATAAGCAGCCTGCCTGCTCTTCCTGTAAATAAATGCAGTGTTTACACTCTGAATTTTGATTGCTGAACAAAGCCAGACACTTCCTTTGAGACAGGTATTTAAAAGATTCTAACTTTAATAGGGCAACTCTCTGTATTTCTTGTTAATTGAGGACTTAACTAGCAGACACACCAAATATAATGTCAAGGAAAAGGTTGCTTTTCTAATATTAGAAATCCAGCCTCAGTTGTGGAGGTTCTCTTGTTGTTGTGCTTTTGGTTTTTCCCCTAGTTTGCACATTCTCTAGTTTAAAAGGAAGTGTTGATTGTGAGAATAAAATCAGCTTGCTTTTCCGTGGATTATTGGCTCTGCAATATGAAAAGCAGTAAAATGGATTAATGTATATATACACCTCTCTTTTTGACTGGAATAAACACCCAGGGAATGATTATGTGGAAAGGAGTGCTTTGCTGATAAAAACTAGCACAGGAGTTGCTCAGAGGACCCTTGGCAGTGGAAGCGAATGGAGGAAGGAGGCTGCACAGGAGCAGAGTGTAGGGCAGGGCGCGCACAGTAGTCTTTCCATAAAGAAAGAGCAAAAGAGTAACTGGCTTGTCATGATTTTTTGTGTCTTCCTCTGCACATGTGTGACAGGAGGAAATAGACTGTATGAAGCTCCTCCTGTGCAGACTCTTTCTTGCTGTCATTCAAGTTGCATCTTTGTTTTCCAAGGCAAATAATGAGAGAATGGTGACTGAAAAATCAGCGTTGGGGAACCGCGTTGGGGAATCGGTGCTCAGCGCGGGGCGAGCGGGGGCTCTGCCTCGGCACACACCGAGGAACCGGCGGCTTTCCCCGTGCACCTAAGATCTCTGCCTAAGCAAGCTGGGTTTCCTGTGGAGACCGGCTTAGCACAGAAGAAACAAAGTGCCCCTCAAATAATGAGGATTCACTTGGTTGCTTTATTTGAATATATTTGATATTTGGCAAATATCTCAGAGCAGAGAGAGAAATGCAATTGAGCTGATGAGACTTAACGCAGTCGGAGGCTTTGCTGCTGTGACTCTTCTCGTGAATTCTTTATTTTTGTTGAAAGGAAACCTAGAAAGTCACTACTTTAGCTGGTTAAGATACTAAATATGAGCATTGTGAGTTATTTGTTGAGGAAGGCCAAAGGAAAAAAGAGGGGAAGATAATATTAAAAATTAGCAATGTTATATGGGAAAGATTTTAATTAGTCCCTTCCAGTTCTTGTTTAAATAAGTGGGGATCTTCAACTCTTTTTTGTATTTTTCTATTTTGATGCTCTTGAATTGAATTTTTCTCTATGTTTTTTTGTTGATATTTATTTATGCTAGAAGCCTTTTCAAAGTGACTAGAATCTAAATGTTATGTTAAAAATGTTATGTTAAACTTCAGGTTATGGAAGAGGAAACCTGAACATTAGGACTGTACAATGATACCAGAAGTTAACGTGGAGTCAGTGATGGGACAGGGATATATATTTTTATAGCTGAGTGACATTTTATAGGCAATTTACAGTGCATTAAGTCCCCCAGTCTAAGCTGTAGACATCTGGTGTCCAGGCACCATCTTCTCTAAAGCCAACGAAAAACACAAAGCCCAAATGGCAAATTTGTGGATCACTACAGCTAAGGCCTTCAGTTAAGAGATTTTTTTTCCTTTTAAGTGAAAGTGGATATGATGCATGTCAAGGATCTGATCTAGCACTAGTGACTGTGTCTTGGACTCGTAAAATATAGTTGAGTCTTATTAGTGTGTTGTTAGTACAAGAAGCTTTGCCATCAGTGATTGCTTTGTTTCTCATTAAGTAATGTGAAGGATAAGGAAGCTGTGTTCAATAGCTCCGCAGAGAGAGAACATTAATCAATCTCTGTTCTTTATATTTAATACAGAGAGACAGTGAGACAAAAATAATATTGCCATTTATCCTGCCTCTGGTCCAAAGTATGCTGTAGTAGTCGTCTTTGGTAAAATTCTTTTTTTCCTTTTGCTATTTTTGTATGCCAGCAATTAGCAAGAAGCCTGCTAGAGTGAGCAGAAAGGAGGAGAGGTTAATTCCACTCCATCCTTTTCTCCTTGCTCACATAACCGACAAAGTAACGGGCCTTGCCCTGTAGTGATGGAGACCTGGGATTGCATTTGAACCCAGGTGTTTCAGAGTCTTTTTCGTCCCTCCTTGGAGCAGTGGTGGAGGGAGGACCTGCGCTGCCTCGACTGCCGAGCACGTCACACACACAGAGCTTTCAGTTTTTACTCACGTCTCCGGTTCTCATTCGCAGGTTTCCAACCTGTACCTGTACGACAGTGTGCTCATGCTGGCCAACGCCTTCCACCGCAAGCTGGAGGACAGGAAGTGGCACAGCATGGCCAGCCTCAACTGCATGCGCAAGTCCACCAAGCCCTGGAATGGGGGCCGCTCCATGCTGGAGACTATCAAGAAGGTGAGAAGAGAAAGCCATGCTTGTGCGAGCAACTGACTGTGTTCTACTGTCAGACAGTTTTACTTGCTACAAGCTTTTGAGAAGATTTTTGACCTCTACTTAACTTGTCTCTGATTTATTCCAAGCAAATTGTTTACAGCTGCTATAAATGATTTACGGTTATTAAACAGGCAAATGACTTATTACAATCAGATTACACACTGCTTTGTTTCTCCAGTGGTGTGTGTTCTCCTCCTGTTGCTATCATTGCTACCTTGTGAGGAAGTAGTGTGGTTAGGAATAGGCACAGAGGTTGATGTGTGCGTGCATGTTGGTGATTGCCCTGAGAGGAGAACTTCAGGAGCTTGTGGGGTCAACCAGCAATAACGTTGAAGATTTATCTTCAAAGTATTGCAGCTCAGCTAGCCTTGTAAATGTGCTCAGCATCTGCAACTATCTGCATGTGTGCTGGCACCCAGGAAAAAGGCATGCAATTAGCACCAAGAGTTGAGCTGATTTGCAGTGTATTATCCAAATATTGACAGTACTGTGGATGTGCAGATGCATAGTAAGCTCTGCCGTGAATGACATTTGATCAGAAGTTTGAGGAGAAAAAGCAATCATTTTTTAGTATGCTAGCTTAAGCAATTCTTTAGGGGGAAAAAAAAAAAGCTGTTTGTCATAACTTATATTTCAGTGGCTGTTTCTGCCTTACTGGAATGGTGTGATTTGATGAAGTGCTGTGTTACGCTCTGACGAGTCCTTATGACACTATCCCTGGTTGTCTGTATTTACCTCAGTATTTAGCTGCTTTGCTGCAGTCTCAAAGTCAAACTTGGTGATACTTCTGTAGGGAAGTTTAATAATAGTAATAATAATAATAATAATAAACCTGTCACATCCAACTTGATAGCACACAAGGCATTACTCTTTCCTTTAGACCAGAGGTTCATGCCTTTATTTTCAGCATCAGACTTGCCCCAACCAGGTGTGCTAAAAAGATCATTGCCTCAGGGTCCCTCCTGCCTTGCACTGGAGTCAAACTTTGTGAAAGATGAAGACCTGATTTGTTTTTTTCTTTACCATATAGAGTGGATGTGTCGGTGCTAAATTAATTTTCTCAGAAAAGTAGTTTATCTTGTCCGAGACTCTGCTTGAGCTATTGAAGAATATGCAACTGCCAGGTTTAAATTTCCTGTAAACATTTTCAAAGCAATTTGGCGTATCTTCAATAGAAAGGAATGTTCATAAGAGCAAATTTGTTCTATTCTAATTTTTGTTCAAAAATTGTTTCCCTAGGGCCATATAACCGGGCTTACTGGTGTTATGGAGTTCAGAGAAGATGGCGCCAACCCCTACGTTCAATTTGAGATACTGGGCACTAGTTACAGCGAAACCTTCGGCAAAGACGTGCGGAGGGTAAAGATGTTTTTTCTCTTCTTTCCCCTCTCTAAATAGCATACATTCTACTTTACAGGAGAAAGCATTGTTCTCTAAGAATGAGTTAGTGCCCTTAATCACACTACAGAAGTAATTTACTATAAAATAATATATTCTAATTTCTTACACACTTAAATCTTGAAAGCTGATTTTATATTAGTAGGCAGGAGACCTGCAAATTGTCCTCGTGTGTGCCGTAATGATACAGCGTCGTAACAGTACTGTGAGCATAATCTAAAAGCAGAGTTGTTTGGTCTTTGCTGGTTTTTAATGTAAATTGGTAATGTAAATATGGTATAATTGATATAAATGGTATAATTGATATAACTGACACTTGTCTTACGAAGGAAATGAACTGAGACTAATTTATTTAAACATATGGAGATGGATCAAAATAAAGTGACTGTAAGTATTTTGGGGAGGAAAAAAAAGTCCTAAAGAAGGCAGTTTTGGCAACAGAGGGTGTTACAGAGTAATGGATGGCATATTGATGCTAGCTGGTGGAACAGAGTCTGGCATCCGAAGAGTTGTTCCAGGTCCTGTAATTGGAAACCTCTTGTGCAAAAATTTCTCTGAAATCTTCAGACTGACCAGGCACCTTTCTGTATTGTAATGAGAGGGAAAAGGTTGTTTCTCAGTCCACTTGGCTTCATGTCTAGGAGTTGTCTACTGCAAATGAGGAAGTCTCACTTCTGAAGACTGGCTGAAAGTTGAGAAATGCAGGTCATTTGAGAAACACTGTTGTCTCTTTAATAGAGCAGATTGGCTATGAAACAACTCAAATGCATATACAGAAGTAAGCATCTGAGTGTGGGCACAGGCAAGTACAAGCACACGTACTGAGTACCTTGTGAGATGCTGTGGAGTGTCCTACCACGTTTCCATCTGCCACTTCAGAAAAGTTTGAGTTTGCCGTCAGCACTGTGCCCTCCTGGCAGATTTCTGGGATAACATGGGACAACTTGACTTCTGTTCCATTTTGCCTGAAATTTCCCCCAATGCCTTTGAACAAGTCACATAATCACTTTGTGCTTTGATTTCCCTTTCAGCAAAATTGGTATAATTGCCAGTTAGAAGAGGTTTGAGGCTCCAGAGGGAAATTATGATGCGTGAATATATATTATTACTTTTGTTAGAATGTACATTTCATACATGGTAGCACATACACAAAAGCTCTCACTTGAATATGTGCAGCACACACTGACCAAGCTGAGATGTAATCCAGATATGTAAAGTGAGGATAACTCGAATATCACTCAAAAGAGACAGCAAAGCAATGTGGAAAATGACTAAATGGGAAGATGGCTAAAATGACTAAATTGATACTGTATGGATCATTTTTGATGCCTAATTTATTAATTTGGGATGAGCTTGTTAATAAGAGAAGGCTCTTTGGATGTCAAATGCAAAACCTTACACAGTTCCAGAAATGAAACGAGGTGCAATTCTGAAGGCTTAAAAGCTGCCAGTTGTGGAGTACTATTGGGAGTTCTGAAAATGATCCTGTTGGCCTAATAGTTGGAAGGAGTAACAAATCAGCAATGTGCTAGAAGAACTTGGAAGAGGTGATATTTCTCAGAGCAAAACTGCCAAGGAACTGCTGGAATTCAATTATTTTGACAAACTGACTTTTTATTATTGCTGCAAAGAGGTGTTACAGCTCAGAAGTACTTTTAAAAGCTCAGAAAGTCATACTTTTCCCCTTTCTATTACTTGAGTAAGATCAAACCTGATTTATTTTCAGTTGTTTCCATATCATAATATCCTCTGTTTCAGCTGTAGAGGGACACATTTTTTCTTGGGGAGTAGAGGATCTATGTTTTTATTTTCTTCTTTATGGAGAGTTTTCATGTGTATTTCTCCATTCCCTGACCCTACAAAAAGCCTTCACACTTAGGAGTTATGACTGGGTGGAGTAACAGAACGTAACACTGAGTACAAAGCCTAACAGGAAAGACGGTAAAGAACTAATGTATGATAAGACTCGACATCCCTTAGAAAGTTTCTCAGGGATCATTTCCACCAGAAGACTCCTAGGCAGAGTTCCAAAGTAGTAACCTCAATCCAGCAGGAATTCATGGGGCTTTTCTGTGGAGACATCTGGATGTTTCTTGGCTATCCTTGGATCTGCTCTTTCCACAGTCAAAATCGTACTCTTCATTCCACACCGGGCTGATCGAGTTACAACTACGAGTAGATATTTCTTCCCATTCCCAATTCTAACCCTGTTTTTGTTGCAAAGGGTGATAGTAGCTTTTGCAGCTTTTTTTTGTTCCATTTTCCATTGTTTGAGAAGACTTTGGTGAAGGGGGGACCTCAGAAAAGAATCTAATTCTTTTGACTTAAACATAAGAACATGTTTTGAGAAGCTAAGCTTTATTTCTGCAGCACTAGTGAGCAAGGTAAATCCCTTAGGATCTATGACCTTGCTTTGCAAAAGGCTTGGATGGTTGGCACTGTGTGCATGTTGAATAAGAATGGTATGTTTGTGGTTGGGTTTTTTTTATTATTATTACAATCTAATAGAGTATTTTAAAATTGAAGGGTAAGATTTTTCAGAGAAACTAGAAAATCTTGAATATCCAAAACTAATTTCTAATATGGTTTACGTTCCTAAAACTTGTAAACACCTTTAAAAATACTGACTTGAGTATTTGCATATAGAGATAAGAACTATGGGAACAATAATAAGTATAAAACATAATAGCGTCTGCTGAAAAGGAAAAAGTGAGAATCTCTAATGGTAATGTCACACTACTGTTTTAAATAAAAGGAAATTTGAGAGACGAAGAACAACAGAGTAGGCAATATAAGTTGGAAAAACAAGCTAAGTGGTACAAAGTGCTCGGGTGAAGATGAGGGAGCAGCTAGGAGCCACTAATAGCCTATTATGTTCAAAGTCCTTTGAGACTTTTGAGGTTTTCATTTGTAGCGTTTAAAAAAAAAAAAAAAAAAAGTCTTTTCATTTCCCCTCCTGTGTTCACCTCCCGTGCTAAAGGTGTCTGCACCAAATTCACCAGCAGTCTTAGTTGCTGTAATTGCAGGGTTGTGCACTGTCTAATGCTCTTGCTATGAATTTAAAGAGAGTTACCAGCAAGTCTATTATTTTTCTGGCTTACTTTTTATTTATCAGTCCTTTACTCATTTATTTTTTACCCACAGGATGAGAAAAGCCTCTCTGTTGTTTATTGTTAAATTCTTCTGGCTTAAGCTGCCTGAGCCTTCGCTTAACTCCCAGCACTGCCACTGGCTGGGTGGCGATTAACAAGTCCCGATGCTCCATTGACTCATTTCCCCACCTGCAGGAGGGAGCTGAGGGCGCCCGCCTGCCTGGTCCAGTGTTCCTCAAGCTCTAATGGAAGAAAAGGGCTGCTGTAGCAAAGGTGCTCAGCTGCTGCATCAATAAGCGGGGTGAATCATGACTTTGAACAGCCATATATTGGCAGGCGTGGGAGAGACCATCCCTTCAGAGCTTGTCTGCAGTTGTCTGTGGAGAAGCTCGCGCAGGACTAGGAGCCTGACGTGAGAAGGGAAGTTGTCCGGGACAGCCACCACTTTCTCCTTAGGGAACACCTGTGGGATTAATGGTTATTAAAAAGAGCCTTGCTGCTGGGTGCTGCACGGCTCAGACCCGTTGTGTTTCTTCCTCGGGCTGCTAAGCTATTTCTTCTCATTAATCCATATATAAAGAGAGTTTAATAGCCCCTAACTGCCCTTGCAGAGATGTGATGAGGTTTAGTTAGTTAATGCCTGTAAGGAGCTTTGAGATGATCTTCCTCCTCCTCATCATCATCCTTGGCAGCAAGATGTCCTGCAAGCATGAAATGATGCTGTTTTTTAGCCTGTTTTATGACAGAGCCTGTATTTGCACTGGAAGCAATCTGCAGTTCTTTCCCAAGCTGGCTAGAACGAAGTCAGAATTAGCTGTTTACACACATGCTGTATTGCATTAAAAAGCCATTCTGTTCACAATTATAACATTAACCATTGGTTATTCATTTATGTCAGCGTGTATGTTTTCATATAATCTGCTACATAAACACTCATACTTGATTCCTTCAACACTCTTGAGAGAGTTTGCAGAAGTTTCTGTAAGTGGTTTTCTGAGGTGCTTCTTGTTTGTTGGAACTCCTTTTCTTGCATCTGATTGTGATTTAATCCTGACTGTTATCTGTGGAGAGATTTGATCTTTCTCATGGTGAGAAATCCTTTGCGTTTTATTCATTAGCAATTACGTGTATTGTGTATTTTTTAGGAGATCTGCAATATTAAGTGCTTTCAGAATTAAGAATATAGGCACATTGCAATTTATACCTCCAAAAGTTTCGAACCAAATAGAATTATCTCAGGTGGTTACTACTGTAATTAAATCAGTTTTATTCATATGGGAAATCTAAGTAACTTGCCTTAGTTGAGCCCTAAAACAGATGCTTGTCCCCTGTTTGAGTACTTCCTAAACAGGCCCTGCAGGGTGGTAGTTTTGGTTTAGTGCATGTGGCCAAGGTCTCCTTCAGCTCAAGACTAGGAATGAAGCCTTGGCTGCTTGTAATCCCTGAGATCTCAGTTACCTTCTGAAGGGAGGGCAAAATAGCCCCACGTTCTGGGTGAAATGTGAGTTCTTTGTATTCACACTTTCTCTTTTCACTTTAACTTTTCTCTTTTAACTTTCTCTTTTCTGCTTAAGCTGATCAACTGTCATGGTAGAATAATTTGGAAAAGGAGTGTTGTGATTCATGCCATAAATACCCTAGGTTTTTTTCTTCCATTTGAGACCATATTTTTCTCACAATAATAAATCCTTCCTGTTTAGCTGTAGATTTCTCTCTAAAGTGGATGTAAGGAGTAAGAATAAATATAAGTTTCCTAAGTTGAGTTATTCATGGTGAAAAAAATACCGCTGTGTATATAGGAAATGTTTATGTTAATATTTTAAACCATAGAAGATCCTGTAGAAGAAATATGATAAGCTGGAGTGCTTT